AAAAAAAATGAAAATAATTAATAATCACTTATTTTACATTGCCCGTTTCGGACGAGACGAAGATGGTGCAGACGCCGACGGCCGCTGGGCGTTCATCGGACGGGGTTCGCCGGCGTTCATCGGACGGGGTCCGCCGACGTTCATCGGACGGGGTCCGCTCGCCTGAGTCGGACGGGGTCCACCGGCGCTCGTCGAACGGGGTCCGCTCGCCTGAGTCGGACGGGTAAAAAAAAATGAAAAAAAAATACTTTAGACGGCGAGCTCCTTCCTCGATGGTGGTGGTGACGACAACAACGACCCCTTCTATAGCTGGAGGCGTCGAGTTGGAGTGTATGAAGAGGGAGGTGAGCAGCCGGCAGAGAATTGTGTGGAGAGGCAGTTTCCAGCCGATGGCGTCTTGGAGTTGGAGTAGAAGAATGGAGATGCGGCGGCAGAGGGAGGTTGCCGGCGACGTGGAGAGGGTCGGGCGGTTAGTGTTTTAAATGAAAGGAGGGTAAAGTTGTAATTATGTTGAAAATTATGGGCGGCAAATAGTAAATAGACGGGCGGCAAATAGCGATTCACTAAATATACTAGTACACAATTTACAATTCAAATCATCTGTTCACTTGAGTTCCATCAGCCATGGGCATACGCTGAGGGTTCTAGTTTGTATAAAACAAAATGGAAAACATCAGTATGAAAGGAATCGCAATCTTCAATTCTTATATAAAAGCCTTGGTTACAATTCTTATATAAAAGCCTTGGTTACAATCACTGTTCATTAGTGGCCCCCAGTTTCTTTGCCGCGAGTGAGATTCGTCCAAGTGTTTCCTCTCTGTCAGTCACCAATCCCGCCTCCCAACACCCTCAAAATTGGTGGATGGTTCTCTTACCCCACTTGCCAACTCAGAAAACCTGGATCCATTTATTATCCAATGGGTTTGTGTGGGTTTTGCGTGGGTTTCTCCTTCCTCCTCTTGCCACTTTTCCACGTTACTTTTCAGTTTTCAACATCAGAGACAAGCTTTCACCATCTCCTTCCACACCCACACGCAACCCTCCATCTTCTTTTCCCCATTCTTTTGGCTCTCACCTTCTTTTCACAGCCAAAGCTTCTCTCTTTGCCCTCTCCTCACAAAAGAAACGATATCTTCTTCTTTTAATAGCCACCTCCTCTCTTCCACTCTTAATCTCAGGCGCTGCCTCCTCTTCTCCATGTTGGGATAAAAGACCATATGTCATGTGGTTTTAAGTTGTTGAGTGGCTTAGAGTACGTTGCTGTATTGTTTTAGCAGTTTGGGTCCAAGTGGAACAATTAGAGTTAGTCAATGACGTGCTGCTAATTGTTAGCAGAAGTAGTTAGTTGTTACTTGTTAGTGGTAGCTGAAAATGAAGAAAAAGAGATTAGTGGTTCGGCAGAGTTTGTGAGAGAGTGTTCTTTGTATTTAAACTTCTTTCGTTTCAATAAAACATTTGGTCAGTTTGCATCAATTAGGTTTAACATTGTGGTATCAGAGCCTAAGCAAACTGTAACCGGGTTGATCATATAGATTTCGTGTGATTGTGAGTGAGAGTGTGTGATTGAGAGATTGATTCAAGTGTGTTGGTCTACTTTGGGTTTGGGAATCAGAGAACACTAGTGAGTGTTCATCTTTGTTAGGGTGAGAGAAATACGAGAGGTAGAAAATTGAAATTCAGTTGCTTGCTTTGAGTTGTGGAAGAGTAAATCATGTGTAACAACAGTCATGTCCAGCTTTGCATACCCAGGTTTGATGGTGATTACGATCATTGGGCCATGCTAATGGAAAATTTGCTACGTTCAGAGGAGTATTGGAGTGTTGTAGCTGACGGAATAAAAATGCCAGCTGCCGGTACTGAGTTTTCTGCAGGTCAATGTGAGGTCTTGAAAGATCTTAAGGCTAAAAACTACTTATTTAGCTCAATTGATAAGAGTATTTTGGTCACCATAGCCAAGAAGTCTACAGCAAAGGATATCTGGGATTCCATGAAACTCAAGTTTCGAGGAAGTGCCAGGGTTCAGAGAGCTCGGTTGCAGACTCTTAGAAGGGACTTTGAGCGGTTGGAGATGAAGGATGGTGAATCTGTGAACGATTACTTTGGACGAGTGATGGTGATAGCCAATGCTATGAGGAACTGTGGAGAGGCAGTTTCTGATGTAAAGATTGTTGAAAAAATTCTGAGAACTTTAACAGATAAGTTCAATTACGTTGTTTGTTCCATAGAAGAGTCAAAGGACATTGACACCCTTTCAGTGGATGCACTCCAGAGCTCCTTATTAGTGCATGAACATAAAGTTTGCAAGAAGCTTGTGGAAGAGGATCAAGCCTTTAAATCCACTTGTGATTATGGTAGCTACCATAAGAAACGAGTTGCCTTCAGAGGCAGGCGTCAATGCAGGGATGAAAGAAGATGGAACCGAGAAACAATTGAATGCTTTAGTTGTCATAAGCGGGGGCATTTCAGTTTTGAATGCCGTGAGTGGAATCAAAAGGCTCACGGTATTAATGATGGCTATGGATATATGGAAGAAAATATGCTTCTTATAACTTGTGTAGAACCAATGGAAGAGACAGGAATACATGTTGCATTGTTGGCACCTGAGAATATTCCATCAAAACATAATACAGAAAGTTGGTGGACTCTGCAATCAGGCTGCAACAGTCACATGACAGATGCAGCTAGTAGAGTTATAGAAGCCAGTGAACTATGCTTACAAGCAACTAAGCTTGAGGAATTTACTCTGGAGTTGAGCCTGGTCAAGCAACAGAAGAAAGATAAACTGCAGGAACTTAAAGCTTTCAGCATTTACAACTCTTGCCGCAAGAATGTGCCTCTGAGAAGAGATATGGAGTGTGATGAGAAGCATGGATGGTTCGAGGATGCAGAAGTCCCATCATTTGTGACTCAATTTGTTTTGCAAGGTTGCAAAGATGTAATATGTAACTCGGATGAAAAGGTTGAGATATCAAATAAGGTGTCAGACAATCCAATTGCATCAACTACATCAGTAGCCACAGTCGGTTTCGCTAGTACCGGAGAGTGTAGGTGGTGTGATCTGCACACCATTAGTATCAGTGATGACCATGAAGGTTTGAAGTCAAGACCGAGAAGATGGCCAGATTATTGGGAGGATTCTATAACTGATAATGTGTTTGAATTCTATGGTTTGGTGGTTAGAGCAGAAGAACCTCAGTGTTCTAGGGAAATAGAAAATGATGAAAGATGGAGGCAAGTCATTAAGCTTGAGTTGCTGTCATTTGAGAAGATTGATACGTGGCAGCTCAGTCATCAAACTAAAGAAAGAGGAGGGAAGTGGCTATGTCAAGCAAAACTTAAGGCCCTTCTGATTTCAGGGGAGGAAAAGGACATCTCCAAGGTTGTGGTTGCAGGGGAGTTTAAGAAATCAAGCAGCAATGGGACATTCATGGACAAATTTGATGTCACAATGTGTGCTAAGAGTGATATGAAGAAGCTGCTGTTCAAGAATCCAAGGTATGTGGGAGGTATCTCAACCACAAGGTTAGCCTCTGTATCTTTTGTTGGTCTCTTTAGCAAGTACTTGGATGGTCCAACCAACTGTCACTCATTTGCTACCAAGAGAGTGTTGAAACATCTCGATGCTTTCAATTACTTTATTTGGTATAAAAGTGGTCAAGAGAATAAGCTGGCTGGATACAAAAATAGTGATAATGCTGATGAGTCAAGGGATATAAGAAGTATAGCTGGTTCGGTGTTTTTATTAGTAAGAGGTGCTGCGACAAGGAGTTCAAAGAAACAACAAGAAGTTACTTTGTCTATAATTGAGGTTGACAAGAAGGACAAGTCAGTGATGGATCTTGTGCTAATACTGTTGGATACCTCTATGTTGAATTTTGCTTTCAGCTTGGATGATATCAACACTTTAGCATTGAGGATTCACAAGAGGTTGAGCCTTGGTCTTAGTATAGACAAGGATGAAGCTGCCGCTGGAGATGACACTGAGATGCGTCGACCGGAGGATGATGGTAACAAGAAGCAATCATTTGAGAGTCCCATCAAAACCATCAAGGACATGCTGGGTGACAAATTTGAGAAGATTGTTGTTAACGACTGTATTGTCGACTCACCTTGCTGCATTGTGACTCGGAAGTATAGATGTGTTGCATGTATGGAGAGGATCAAGAAGGCTCAGGGACTAAGGGACGACAACATGGGATCATACATGTTGAGCAAGAAAATCGTTGAGATAAATCGTGATAATGGGATAGCGGAGGAGTTCAGGTATAGGGCTGGGGTTGATTTTGTGACAGCAGCAAATTGTATTAGTCACTGCAGTGAGCTAATAAGAAGTCGACTACAAATGGAGCCAGTAGCAGGATCCGAAGCTTGAGTAGTAATGGCTTAATCATCAAATTATCAAAATTGTGTATTTGTGGCAGAAGCAAGGTTAATGGAAGGTTTAGTTGTCTAATGGACTTGGTGAAGGAAAAAGGGGTGATTCCGAAATCTTTTGGAGTGAGTAATTGGATGATTATGAAGTTTGGCATGCTTGAAAGGCTCCATAGTATAGCTGAAGATGGAATAAAAGGTTGCTGTTGCAAATTCATGTTGTTACTACAAATTGAAGTTGCTGCTGCAAAATGGAAGCATTTATTGCAAACTGAGGCTGCTGAAAATTGAAACTGATGCTGATGTTGGGAAATGAACTGAAGATTTGCTTTGTAGGCTTCAGTTCAGGGGAGGATTTGTTGGGATAAAAGACCATATGTCATGTGGTTTTAAGTTGTTGAGTGGCTTAGAGTACGTTGCTGTATTGTTTTAGCAGTTTGGGTCCAAGTGGAACAATTAGAGTTAGTCAATGACGTGCTGCTAATTGTTAGCAGAAGTAGTTAGTTGTTACTTGTTAGTGGTAGCTGAAAATGAGGAAAAAGAGATTAGTGGTTCGGCAGAGTTTGTGAGAGAGTGTTCTTTGTATTTAAACTTCTTTCGTTTCAATAAAACATTTGGTCAGTTTGCATCAATTAGGTTTAACACTCCACTCGGTGGCTGAATCCCACCTCTGAAGCTCTCCAGCTTAATCCGCGGGAAGAACATCGCTCCTTCCAAACTCACCGACAAAAAAATAATCGAGTATTTCACAGGCTTGATCGGCGTGGCAGTGAAAGGTCCAGAGAACATCACTCCTTCGAAACTCGCCGGCGGAATCCCAACTCAGAGGGTCGCCGACTTAAGCTCAGGTACCACTTTTCTTGCCTTTTCTTGCTTCAATCCCATTCCGAAACTCATATCTGCATTCCGCCCTAGAAACTCAGGTCTTCCATACCTTTCTTGCCGAAAACCCAGGTCCCAATCCCTCCCTCTCTCTCGCTGTTAAAGAAGAAGAAGAAGAAGAAGAAGAAGAAGAAGAAGAAGAAGAAGAAGAAGAAGAAGAAGAAGAAGAAGAAGAAGAAGAAGAAGAAGAAGAAGGAGAAGAAGAAGGAGAAGAAGGGAATCGTTGGAGTAGAGGAAGAAAAAGTGGGCAAAACAGGTATGCCTTTGCTTGCAGGCTATGAGTTGTAATAAAAACAACTTTCTTCTTACAATTGATTATTGTCGGGTTCCTGAGTTCTCGATTATTTGCATACCATCTCCGTCTGCTGTCAACGAAATCCTGGGTTTTTATATCTTGAGTTATTTACTGTGATCCACTGGTATTTCTTTTCAAACTTCAGTTGAATGGGTGATTTGGCCAAACCCACTACTCTCGATCCCTTTTCAGTGCCTGCTCTCTCCCACCTGCAAAGATCGTTCACATATGGTATTGTTTAGGTTCACAGAATTCAGCTTGCACATTGCTATATCAAGTAGATATGGTTTAACTTCATTAGTTGTTGACGACATTATTCACTTTAATATTGGTCCTTCATTTTGCAAATAAGCTAGCCATTGTGTTTTTCTGGTTTAGTTCATAAGTGGTTAGAGAAAGTTCTCTTCTCTCATGCCTCTTGGATGTTCTTTGATTGAAGTTTAGTGTCTACATTTATGTCAGATTTACAATTAAGTTCATATTGGGTTTACTGTTACTTTACATGTGCTCATTTTGCCTACTTGATTTAGTCATTGGGTGTGGGTCGAATTAGGATTGACAATCTGTTTTGTCTCATTGATGGTCACTTTGGAATTAGTGTTCACCTTCACTATGGGTTTACTGCTCGGTTACTGGCTAGAATGAATTTTCTTTGCCTGGCATCATGACTTTCCCTCATAATCTTAGATTTTTGCCACTAGCTATTTGCTTTGTTGGAACCAAACAAGAATGCCACAACAGCCTTTAGATTATATCATATTGGTTAGTTGCTTTGCAACAAAAACCTTCTGCCACACATACTTCATATCGATAGTTCATAGTTACGCAGACTGAAAATACTTTGTACATGGAATGGTGAGGCAATGCTCTACCTTTTATCTAAAGTTGCCATCTCTCAAGGAAATTTGCTGCCTGTGATTGCCTCTTTTCTCTTACTAAATTGACCAACTACTTACATCAACTCATGTCTCACAGTATGCTTTGCTCTTCGAAAAGAAGATAGTATAGTTTATTGACTATGATTAGTTTCTTTTTTTGCAGGTGATTTTGTAGTCGTAGGAGAGAATGCCAAAAAAGGTGAAGGGTAGTAAGAAGAATTATGTGGTTCTGAATTAGTTTCTTTGCTTAGTTTCTTTCCTTTTCTTTACTCATCTTTATGTAGTTCTGAATTTGACAGGGCAGAAACAACCAAGGAAGCTTTGCAATAGAGAAGCCTGACATGTCAATGTTCTCTAATGAGGCTGAACCAATGAGGTTGCACATTAATCTCATCAACATGACATCAGGCCATCTCAAGTGGTGGTCTGTTTATTATTTAATGTCGTCATTTTTGGACATGAACTATTTAGACTTACCATTTTCTGATTCTTCAAGTTTTTGTGCAGTTCTTAGAGAAATTGCAGTAGAGACACAAACCCCACAACTCTTAGACGTGCCAAATTCTTGGTTTCTCTATATCCACCATTTCGTTAATCGCCATTTCTGTTGCCTCTCTACTTTGCTCATTGTTATGTCTTATAGTCCAATCACCACAATATTGCACGTTGAATTTCACTGCTTTTGTACTCTTAATTACATCCTTTTTTAAATGTGAATAAGGTCATTTCTATTGCATGGTTTATATTGTAAGTCATGACACGTTTTGGGTATCGTTGACTATAGAACTGTGTTTTGCTATTAATTCAGATTTTTATCACTATGAGCTTAAGTATGCCATTTGGTTTGCTGTTTAGGATAATCTTTTGGTCTCTTGATTTATGTAGTTCTATTCTTATGTTGTTTTGCTATGATCCAGTCAGTTGGTAAAGCCCTTTCTATTGCCCTCTTTCTAGGCTGCCAATTTATGCTTTTATTTCCTTTGATTCCTTTAATCCTCAGCTGAATCATGAAATATCTGGCCTGTGAAGAAATGATGGACGTACTTGGTTTTGGTTTTACTTCGGTAGTTGAGAACTGGTTGCTTGATTGCTTAAGTTTTCACTTCTTAATATATACAGGGACTACTCGAGTTCAGATATGGTCGCAACCTGATGTACTGATCCTTCATTTACCATCATAAACTCGACCCTACTCGCTCTTCCGGATTTCAGCTCTACCAATCCATCATAGCCTCCCTCGGTAAGTTCCTATCTTATCACTTCCGACTCTTTAATCTTCCTCTCATCTCGAAATCTTTCATTCTCCATATGGCACTAATTATCATTATCAAACACAGTCTGGGACTTGTTTTTATATATGCTAAATCGCATTGCTTTTTAAACAACAAAACAGACCCATATTGCTTTGGAATCTCAGTTCGGTGAAATGTGGTAGCGTCACATTTTGGAGGAAGATTATGATTCAGGTTTTAGTACCTTCTCCCTGAAAGTTGTTGTATGGTAGGAATGCTTTCTCAATGCCCCTTCGTTTGCCTCTTCCATTTTGTTGGCTCCTTGGAATTACGATAATCTTTGCTGAGCTCCCTTTGATCCTTTATTATTGTTTTAGCACTTTGGATCGGGTCTAATTGATTCGACCTTGCTGTTTCTTTGTTAATTGATTCTTGCTTTCATGATCACATTGTTGTCATATCTATTTGCTTTTTTTCTGTTTATGATATATGAGTTCCATTTGTTAATAATTTTATGATGGAATGCAATGGTAGATATGATAGTGGCCTGCTTATTCATCGAAAGGTCTTACCTCAGGTGGAAGGGATCTAATCTTTGCTGTTTATTTATGAATCGAGAGAGATAATTCTTCAAAGGATAGAGGACAAAGAACTCACTCGGACTGCAAGTCTACAAGAAGACCCCAGTTTGGCTCTGCAACTTCATCTCAGACGTGCAATATATGTCATCTGACTCCAGACAGGCAACCTTTGTAAGATTGTCAACATGTGGCAAGAACACACCAAATTATTTGAGATCCTGTCTGTTGTCAGTTAGATGGATATGACGTCCATGTTCATGTTGTGAAGTGTTGTGGATGTTCGCCTCCCTTTTGTGTGATACCCTGCCCATGACTTATTATGGCATTAAGTGAAAAATAGAGTGTGCAATGCGTATCTGGTACGAGCAGAATAATCATATTTTCATTATCATTTTCATGTATGATTATTATGTTTTTAGTCTTCCGTGCAGATCATTAGACATTTGCCAACTATTTTGTTTCGCCTTTAAAGATTTGGCAGCAACTATTTGTTCCCTGACCCAAAACTAACCAGCCTGCACAAAATTCTCAGTTCTTTTGTATTTAATGTTTCTATTATTTTTACCCAAAAAAATGTTTTTATTATTTTTCGTGAAGCGTAGCGAGCGGGTGGTTTCTAGTTAGAATAAATTTTCTTGTTGGTCACCCGTCCAAGTGAGATTTTGAGCTTTAGTATGTATGAGACTTAGCTCCCTTCCCTTCCTTCCTTCCTTCCTTCTAGCTACTGACTTAGACAGGGTTAAAGTTTAATTAGTTCAAGAAATTCTTTAATATTTTGCTAGTTTGTTATTATATGTATGACTCCCTACATAGGTCAAAACTATACACCCAAGACCCAACGATTCTTACACCATCACACATAAACAAGCAACTCAACCAAATAGAATGATAAAAACATCTTTTTTGTCCAGAGTCTCTTTTACATGTATGTATGTATGTATATTTGTCGAGATATAGAGATTAATATAACTAAAAATCGGATGTACACCAAATAACATATGTATATCTACGAGTAGGCTCATTCATTCATAGTATATATAAAGAGTACCTAGTACAAAAGATTAAAAAAAGAAAGAATAGATAATAATAATATTGTTTGCTCCTTCACGGAAATAATGCCGGCTAACTTATATTTGAGGTCCTGGAAATTAAAGTACATCATTGTTCTTATCTTATACAACAGAAGAAATAGATTGAGTGTTGTTTTGTGATGGTATGTGTATAACTACTTCCGATTCCTTCTTCTGGAGTTGGGGTTGTATGATCTCTTGTGCGTGAATGGCTCCAACCGGATGACTTTTTCTTTCGAAGCCGCCCCTCCATAATTTGTAGCCAACAATGCATACATAGAAGATAATCGCTCCCCAATAAGGTGTCCAATAAATCAAACTTTGTGCCGTAACAGCCACGAAGACATCGCTTATACTAACACCGCAGATATGAAGAGCAACTGAAAAATATTTAATCCAAACAAAAAATACTATTGACGAAGATATCAATAGTTGAAATACGATAGAACTGGAATGAGGGGAAAAATGCCTAGCCACGATTGCTGCTAGCAACGCAACCATTTGCAATATAATTTGTCGAGTAAACCCCAAGCGAGGCAGCTCGTCGTCTCGACGAGGCCACGGTAAGCAGAAGCCCACCACATGTGCAAACCCAAGCACCATGCACATCACGAAACTAACATCGACGGGCCCCAACGTTTTGTCAAACTTGATCAGTTCTAGGAATCCATCCATTGCCACACCACCTCCAAGTCCACCCAGGAAAACCCAAGGTATGCATAATATACTTAGTCCCTCTTCTTCATCACCATCTACAATGAAAAAAGAATGCAATGTTTTTATATATAAAATATATTTTGCATTTCAAAGAATGGTTATCAAACAAGGAAAGCAGAATGCATAACCAAGGGAAGTATTACAATTAAGACCAAAAAACAAGTGTCGTCATTCAATTCATTTAAATTTATCATCAATTGCTAAAATTGAAAGGTACACAAAAAATAGAGCAATTCTTTTATGGATAAAAAGAAGAAGAAAGAGAATAGCTATAGATTTTAGTGTGAAATACATATGGTAATGGTATCAAACCATCGTACGAAACGAATAACATTTAGGAAAGAAATGAAAAAAAAAACAAACCATGATAGATAGAATAGAACGAGTTAATTCAAATGTAAAGTGACTTCTCTCATATCAATGCATAGTTGTATAAATTAATATTTGCGCAGCCATATGTCACTCTAGTCTTATTATAATTTT